CCGTTGTCCTACTGAGGAGAAATTCAGGGAGATTGCTGCCTACAACGAGAACAGATGGGGGGTCCCACACTGTGTTGGTGCCATTGATGGATCCCACATCCCTATCATGGCTCCACAGGAATGTCATTGTGACTATTTCAACCGCAAAGGGTGGCATTCCATTATTCTCCAAGGTGTGGTTGATGGAAAGGGGTTGTTTTGGAACGTGTTTGCCGGATTGCCTGGGAGCTTGCATGATGCCAGGGTCTTGAGACTCTCTAACTTGTGGGAGTTAGCCTGCCGGGGAAGCCTCTTCCCAGCTCACACAAGAGAAATTGGTGGGGTGACTGCTGGCTATTACCTCCTAGGGGACTCCGCTTACCCCCTGCGGAACTGGCTCCTAAAACCTTTTCAGGACACCGGACGACTGACAGACGAACAGCAACTATTCAACAGAAAATTCAGCAGAGGGCGGGTGGTTGTTGAAAATGCTTTCGGCAGGCTTAAAGGAAGATGGCGCTGTCTTCTGAAAAGGAATGACTCTGACACTGAACTGGTAAAGTCTATGGTGCTGGCTTGTTGTGCTCTGCACAATCTGTGCGAAAATCATGGAGAGACCTACGTGACAGAATGGGACACACCTGTAGCAACAGTTCAGCCTGTGGTAGCAGTGGCACAGGGTGCAGATGAGGGGGGCAGTGATGTTAGGGAGGGTCTGATGCGTCACTTTCTGTCCAATGTGTGAACATTTTGCCTGTTTTGGAACAAGAAATAAACCTTTTTGTATTCAGCAAAAATGCCTTCTATTCATATTTCACTCCTGGGAAAGTACAGGTATTACTCATATAGGTCACATTACAGTCACCACTCACAGAACAGTCGCAGGAATATGCCATCTGCTGCAGATGCTTCCTGGAATACTCACAATGAAGAGCAATAATCCTAAATAAAATCAATATCCAAACAGTTAACCTGGGCCCATTTAAACGCAGAGCTTCTAAAGTTCACTCCCAAAAACAAACTCAATTATGCAAATGACTTACAGGAATTGACACTACCCAACACGATGTCAAGACTTTGCATTTTCTCCAGATGCCAATTTCTGGACCCAAATCCGCAACATTTACTTTATGGCCAAAAACTCAAACTCAAACATACAACTCAAAGTCCTCCATAGATACCACTACAGAGACCGCTAACTTTTAAAAATGGGTTTCAGCACTTGCTCGCATTGCACAAAAATAGTGCTGATAACATTAATATGGATTCATTTTTTGTGCTTTTACTTGTTTTGTCATTGTAACCTTTTGGTGGGATATGCATGTATGTGTTCATGTATATGCAGAGAGCCAATATTGCATATTAATGAAATATTAATTCATACATTTTCAATCATACACCCATTAACCATTCCCACCATTACAAATACCTTTATTCCCTTTCAGATTTGGATCAGCCACTCGCACGTGCACACACAAACTCTTTATCGTGCCTTTCTTACCCACTTTCCTAGCTTATTGTATTGTAACGAACACTGTACATTATCAGTAGTCTGTATTGTTCCCTGTAGGCTCCTCACTCCATGACTGGGAATAAATAAACCTTCTATTCCTAAATTTACCATAATTAAGGCTTTACTGACAACAAATAATGTGAAACCTTTGGTTTGCATGTTAACTGTCATGTGTACCGAGAAATGAAACCTGTCTTGGAAAAAATCACACATTTATTTAAAAAAAAACAATTTTAAAGTGCACCAATAAAATTATTTACAAAGTGTCTTGGTGAAGAGTGTCTTGGTGAAGAGTGTCAGTTTCGGCGGCCACTCATGGCTTCCACCAGCTGGCCCAGGAGACCAAGAAACGATTGGTTAAATGCAGCCGTCTGTGCATTTTCCTCCCTCCTCAATGTCGCTTCCAACTCTTGCGACTCTCTGACAAGCTGGAGTTGCTGTGTCCGGTTCAGCTCCTGCTGCACCACATCTTCAGCTTGGATCTGCCTCATCATTTCTACTGTCTCCGTCTGGAAGAGCGCCCTTTTTCTCTTCCCTGTACAACAATAAAAAAAGTATTAACAGTTGGTAATTATCCAAAGCAGTGACATTTCTGGAGACATACTTTTATGTAGGCAAAAAGATTATTACGTTTCAGAACAGTATATATCACACTACCCGAGATTTTGCAACAACTACCCTTTCAAAGAGGAAAAACCTCCACTTAAAGTGTTACGTGTGGGATCATTTTGACTTAATTGCGAATCGGGTAATGTTTGTATGTCATGTTTCACGCTTTGTCAATAAACAATATTTAATGGTCAATGTTTAGGCATTTTAGGACAAAGCATGAGCATGACTTAAATACACCCAGATTAATCAAATCAGTCAGAGCGGCTAAAATTACATTTCGCTGCATTTCTTTTTCACACCAAAGTGAAGTGGTATTGTATCACAAATTAGATTTTTTATTTGGAAAAAGATCACTGACAGGTGGTCCGATTCCTTTTTTATTGACATTCTCTAAAG